CCTGGTCTCTGGATATGATATGATAAGTCTGCCTCCCACTGCAGACCTGTCATCACCTCAGTATTGAATATCAGTTCCTACATTTTGCACAGATAGATAAATTGCTGAGAAAATGTAATGATAGACTAAGTACCCACAATGTCATGGTTCCAACAGATGAAACTCTTCAAAAGAACTTTAAGGCATTGTTCACCTAAAGAATCTTTTATTCGAGTAGCATAATATCACCACTTACATAATCAAAGCCAAAAACTGAATTTCCCCTTCCCTGGGCACATAGTATCAAAGTATAATTCCCTCCTCCAATTAACAGTCATAAATCACATTCCCCATTTAGCTTGAAGCATGGGCTTCCTCTCCAGTTCACCAGCCCGCTAATTCTTTATCAGCTCTGGGCTCAATAACCTTGATTCTCACGCTATGTTTAGGGTTGTTATGTCTAGCTAGACTCTCATTCACATCCCCCCCCCAGCATCATCTAACTCTAAAAGCGAAAGGGAAAAAGATGGCTAGAAAAAGGTGGAATAGATAACATCACTACCAGATAGAACTGTAGCTGGCTGGCAAACTATACTCAACGAGTAGTGCACAATGGAACTACATCCATATGGAGAGAAGTAAGCAGTGGGGTACCACAAGTCCTGGGTCTTAGGCCCAGGACTCTTCAATATCTTCATCAATGACTTAGATGAGGGAATTGAAGGGGAACTCATCATCCGAAGAACGGCTGCAGGACTTGGGTTTGGCTAATCTAAAGAAAAGAAGAAATAGGGGACTAGGTCCCTTCCAGCTCTATTCTATTCTATTCTATTCTATTCTATTCTATTCTATTCTATTCTATTCTATTCTATTCTATAGACTAGCCTAACCCAAGTCCTGCAGCCAGGCCTTAGTTGATCTTTTCTGATTTTTTTCCAAACTCTCAACATCGAAAGCCAATAGAATAGACTCTCTTGAATAGGGTCTAATTCTATTGGCTTTCAAAAGCCAATAGGAATTGTCCAGGCTGTCTCTGCCCTGTTGAGCCCACCAAAAGTCCCATTCTGCAAATGGTGCTGCAAGGAAAGCTTCCCTCCCTGCTGAGCAACTACTAAAAGTAAGTAAAAGAGGGCCAGGGGTGGGAGGTGGGAGGTTGGCAGGCGCAGGGAGGGTTGCTGGTGTGCGTGGGGCTTGGCGGGTGCCTTACATCCCTTGTGCTGGGTCAGCTGGTGGCCCAGCTGGTGGTTGCCCTGCGTCTTGCTGTGGCAAATGTAGAAGGATGCGAGACGGCGAGCAGAGGAGGGGGAGGAGAGGTTCAACTTCCACCGAGCCACCGCCTCCCCATCACCCTCCACGCCAGCCGGCTCCATTGCCAGACCTCCCAGCTGGTGGGCACAGGAGTTTGGCACTGCGGCGGCCTCCCCTTCGCCCTCCGCACCGGCCAAAGCGTTTCCTGGCATTCCAGGTTGTTCGTGGGAAGGGGCCGAGGCCAGTGCACCTGGCGGGCATCCCGTGGTCCCTCCGCACACGCGCTTGCCGCTTCCAGCCGCGGCCGCTCGGGAACTGGGGCGCCCCTCGGCCTGGGAGTCAGGCGGGACCATCCCTGGCGGCGTTATTGGCAGCCTCTCCCGCTTTGCAAGTGGGCACCGCCTGAAGAGAGCGCTTGGCGTGGTGGAAACTCCCGTGGGAAGCCCGGCCGCGGGGGGCGAGGCAGCCGGGGCCAAGGCGGCGCTGGGCGGGACTCGCCTGTTGATCTCAGGGCTGGCCGTGGGGAGCTGGTCGGAGGCCGGCCGTAGTACCAGGGTTGGAGCTCCGGGCTGCCGTCGGGTGGGAAGAGAGATGCAGTGGGTGCAGCAGCTTTTCTGCAGACCCGCCTTCTTCCTCGGCGTCTTCGGGGCCCACGCCGGTGGCTGGCTGGGAACCGCCGTGCTTGGGTGAGGAGTCAGCAGCGGCCGGCACAGCCCGCGGATGCCAGTACTGCGCCTGTGGGAAAGCAGGCCTGGCTCCCGCCGCATGGAAATGGCGAGGCGGCCATGCCTCTCCGGACCCTGCTCCCGGCCGGCCTCCCCCTCGATCCTGGGGCGGTCAGGCGCCCGCGGGAAGGCTCTGTGGAGCATCACCAGCTGTGCTGTGGCCAGCAGGAGGATGCCGGGGCTGCTTCTTCAGCTGGAGCAGTTGCCAGGGCTTGCATGGTCCTCAAGGGCCGCTGACGTGCTCCCTGCAGCCAGCAACCATGCAAGCCCTGGCATCTGCTCCAGCCAAAGAAGTAGGCGGCTGGGAGGCTGCCACGATGCCTACCTCCTGCGCCCATCAGCTATAATGTCAGGCAACACTTTGGCCGGTGCGGAGGGCGATGGCGCTCAGGAGGCTGGAGGGGCGGGCAGATCCCGGGGGCGGCTGGGAGAGGGCAAAAGGTGCCAGGATGAGGATGGGGGGCTGTTGGTGGGTGTGAGAGGGCAGCCGGCGGTTCCGAGGCACGCAGATCCTCCACGCAGCTTCCGAGGCCCCGGATGTGCCACCGCTTGGCTCTCCGCCAAGCTGTCTGCCAGAGCCTCTCCCCCATCCCTGGGCAATTGTGCAGAGCTGCTTGTGCATCCTTGGCAGTGCCTCCCCTCCTTCCATCTCCAACTCCATCCCTTCCCCTTCAATCTCCCTCTCCTTCCTTCCTTCCTTCCTTCCTTCCTTCCTTCCTTCCTTCCTTCCTTCCTTCCTTCCTTTCCCCTTCAATCTTCCTTCCTTCCTTCCATCTCCATCCTTTCCCCTTCAATCTCTCTCCTTCCTTCCCCTTCAATTATTTTGTATTTGTATTTAATTTTATTTATATGCTGCCCAATCCCAAAGGACTCAGGGCGGCGTACAGAGTCATAAAACAATAAAATAATACAATCATACCGCGAGTCCGATCATATCCCGCCCCCCCCCCCCGGGGACATCAGCCACAGGCCTGCCGGAACAGGAGAGTTTTAATGGCTTTCTTAAAGGCCGGCAGGGTGGGAGTAGTTCGAACCTCGGGGGGAAGTTGTTTCCACCAGGTCGGAGCCACCACAGAAAAGGCCCTTCCCCGAGGGCCCGCCAGCCAACATTGTCTGGCCAACGGGACCTGAAGGAGGCCCAATCTATGGGACCTCACCGGTCTCTGGGAGCTGTGCGGCAGAATGCGGTCCCGTAAGTAACCTGGCCCTATGCCATGAAGGGCTTTAAAGGTGATAACCAACACCTTGAATTGCGTCCGGAGACCCACAGGAAGCCAGTGCCGCTCGCGGAGGATAGGTGACACGTGGGCGTACTTTGGCGCGCCCACAATCGCTCTCGCGGCTGCGTTCTGAACCAACTGCAGCCTCCGAACGCCCTTCAAGGGTAGCCCCATGTAGAGCGCGTTACAGTAATCCAGTCTTGAGGTGACAAGGGCATGAGTGACTGTGAGTAAAGCCTCTCGGTCCAAATAAGGCCGCAACTGGTGCACCAGGCGAACCTGGGCAAAGGTTCCCCTGGCCACAGCTGATAGATGTTGTTCCAAATTTAGCTGTGAGTCCAGGAGGACACCCAAGTTGAGTGCCTGCACTGAGGGAGGTAAATTTGCCTACCCCCCAGGACTAATGATGGACCATCCAGTTGGCCTTTGGGAGGCAAGACCCAGAGCCACTCGGTCTTGTCAGGGTTGAGTCTAAGCCTGTTCACCCCCATCCAGACCCTCACCTCTTCCAGGCACCGGCACATCACGTCGACTGCTTCACTGAAAGGACACGGGGTGGAGATATATAATTGGGTATCATCCGCGTACTGATGATACCTCACCCCGTGTCGCCGAATGATCTCACTCCATCTCCTTCCTTTCCCCTTCAATCTTCCTTCCTTTCTTCCTTCCTTCCTTCCCCTTCAATCTCCTTCCTTCTCCATCTCCTTCCTTTCCCCTTCAATCTTCCTTCCTTCCTTCCTTCCCCTTCAATCTCTCTCTCGTTCCTTCCTTCCTTCCTTCCTTCCCCTTCAATCTCCTTCCTTCTCCATCTCCTTCCTTTCCCCTTCAATCTTCCTTCCTTTCTTCCTTCCTTCCCCTTTAATCTCCTTCTTTCTCCATCTCCATCCCTTCCCCTTCATAAACTGCTTATAAACTGCTTTGATTCTTCCATTTATTGTTTAAAGTGGTTTAATGCTTCCATTTATTTCCTTTTATTCCCTTAAAACTAGTTTGAATCTTCCATTTGTTGCCATTTATTCTCTCAAAACTGATTTAATTGTTTTTTTTATTTCTGATACACGAAACTTATAACCTCCATGCCATTTCTCACTCTTCTTATTCCTTTCTGCTTTGCTTTTTATTCCCTCTCTTTCATATACTTTCTTTCATCTTCAGTGAAAGAAAATCCCTCCAGGTCCCCACTATAATCTATGGTTCAAATGAAAGCAGCCTTATTTCTTCTTATTTATTATTTACTAACTTTTTATAAATTTTGGTCCCACATTTAAAGGCAGGGTAAACATGCATTAAAATACATGCAGCGGTGCGGCACAGCATTAATGGTGACCGGGGCTGTTTTTCTTGCCACGCCCACTTGGTGGCAACGCCCACTTGGTGGCAACGCCCACTCAGCCACACCCACTTGGCCACGCCCCTGGCACCCGGTGATGTATAAGTGGTTGGGGGTCACCACAACATGGGGAACTGTATTATGGGGTCACGGCATTAGAAAGGTTGAGAACCACTGATACAGACCATATAGAAAAATATTGCTTGAACTTCTCATTCCAAAGAAATGCATCTTTTAATGTGTTTTATATTGTATAATCTCAAATGTATCTTATATTTGTTAGGGCTGTCGTAAGTCACCAATAAATAAAAAATAAAAAACCTGTTATTGAATTAAGCCATTTTCCGTATTGACACAATATACTCATTCATGAACTATCCAGGTTATCAAGTTTCATATAATAAACCAATACATTAAAAACTAACTCAGGTTGTGTTATGCTCCAAGATTTGCAACCAGCCTGGTAGCTGAACACACCCTACCTTGTTTTCCCAGGACATCAAGAGTTTTATCAATGAGACGTGGCTGCAGCGACACGGTGTGGCTCTCTCGCCAGACAGGCTGGCTGTGCTGTGGTCCTTCATCATCTCTATCTACTGCCTGGGGGGTCTTCTGGGCTGTTTATGGAGTGGATCACTGGCCATGAGATATGGAAAGTATGGCTTTTCCTCAAGAGGAAGTTTTCATGATGGCCCCTTGTCTTATAGGTGTGAGATTTTCTCACATATGTTGAAGTCTGTGACTATATAATTGTGAGAGTTCTCATTTTCCCCTCTCTCTTCACTTTAAATTAGAACTGAAAGCCTTGAAATGAACTTGAGTCCCAGAGAAATCAGTCAATAGTGGGAAATACTCATGTGGCTGGAGTTTAACACCCGATTGTGGTTTATTTCAGAAAGAAAACTTTCATTTGCAGCGATTTTATTATAATTGTGGGAGCTCTTCTTGTTGGTTCCAGTAAGATGGCCAGGTCTTTTGAAATTATCCTGATTGGCCGTTTCCTTTATGGCATTAGTGCAGGTAGGATGGAGAGGAGGGCCTGGGCTTTGACCCTTGGGGAAGCCAAATGCACCCCCTGGATGAGGAGAGATGGGCATGGGGGGAGACCTTTTGATTCCTGTGATTCTTCTCTTGAAGGACTCTGCCTGAATATCCATGGGCCCTATCTCAGTGAAATTTCCCCCAAGAAGTTCCGAGGCTTGGCCACCACTACAGCAGCAGTGTTTTTCTCCCTCGGAAAAGCTTTGGGGCAAATCCTGGGCTTAAGGTGAGCTCACTGCCCAGGAGCCCTTCCAGCTCTGCCCTTCCCCCCTCCATTCTCATTGAAGGCCAACAATTTTGTCTGCCCTGGGCTGTAATTCTCCCACTGCTCGGCCAAGGAGAGAGCCGGTCTTCTCATTTCCTTTTAGACTGATATGAAAACTCCCTCTGAGGGACAATCTGTTCTCCTCTCAGGGCTCTCAAGGGGTCCTCAGTTCAAGCTGTGCAGTGGTGGGATTCAGCCAGTTCGCACCACTTCAGCAGAACTGGTAGCTAATTTTTTGTTACCTAGACCTAGAATGGACTTCCGGAAGTGGCATCCACACAGAGAACTGGTTGTTCACCTATTTGAATTTCACCACTGAAGCTGCAATGGTGGGAAGGGCCCTTTGGCTTTTTTTTTGGTCAAAGAGATGGTGCTGACTTTGCCTCCTTCACTTTGACTTCTGCTGCACCCTCCCTCCAGTCATCCAATCCCTTCAGAAAGAATAATGGTGTCTCTTTCTTCTCCCTCCTGTCTCCTCAGAGACCTTTTAGGCACTGAGGCCCTGTGGCCCCTCCTGCTGGCCCTATGTGGCTTCCCAGCCCTGCTGCAGCTGCTGCTGCTGCCATTCTTCCCAGAATCACCCCCGTACCTGCTGTTGCAAAGGAAGGATGCTGACGCTTGCCGAAAAGGTGACACATGTCTTCCCCTGTGGGAAAGAACCTCTTTGTGCTTAGCTGTCAGAATCCAATTATATTTTATTTCTAGTTATCGACTATGGAAAACCCCATTTCTGCCCTCTCTGGATTCTGTCATACTATGAAGGGGAAGGGGGGGTGAGCAAAGGGGTTTTATGGCTCTCACTTCCTTCATTAAAACTTCAAAGGGACTGAATGTGGATCTCACCAAGAGGACTGACCATAACAATATGACCATCACCTTTCATCTACTACTCTCTGAAGTCTCCCTTCTGCCAGCTGTGAGGAAAAGGGGGTGGAAATGTAACGCCTGGGATTGTCACTGGAAGGACGGTGGGGTGGGGGCTGCTTGGGAACACTTAAAACCTTTGAATGGTAGGGGTTGGCCCCTCAGATCCTGTGTAGACCTCCTGCAACCATCTTCTCTTAATAAAGATGCCTATTGGAAGAGATATTCCAAGAGTTCTGTCTTCTTAAGATGTAAAGTGGGGTGGGACCTTACATTAGCTAAGGGTGGCCATCTAACCATTCCATCTTCCATGAGATGGGCAGCCATATAAATGTGACTAATAAATATGGATGATATGGGTAAGGAAAAATTAAATGCCAGAAAAGAGATACTTAAAAGACAACTGTTACCACCTTTGGTGATGAACCAGCTACAGCAGAGGTCTTCAAACTTGGCCCTTTTATGACTTGTGGACTTCAACTGCCAGAATTCCTCAGCCAGGCACACTGGCTGAGGAATTCTGGGAGTTGAAGTCCACAAGTCATAAAAGGGCCAAGTTTGAAGACCCCTGAGCTACAGCCTTTCAGTGGCGACCATGAACATTGGTGTCCTTCAGCAGCCCCAGTTGGTGGGTTGACTGGAAGGACTCTCAGGCAGCCCTGCTTTCCTTATGTTTGCTTTCTTCTCACTTGGACTGCTTATTACTGTACTGTCAATACATTGTCTTGAATTTCTTCCTAATCATGGAAATCAACAAAACATGCATGAAACTTTGTAGAGACAAATAGGTTTTACTTAGGAAACAAAAATCAGATACACAATCTTGGGGTATGTCTTGCTTGGTAATAATGTCAATAAAATATTGTGGAATACAATTAACAGTTGTTGATTAAAATTATTAAGAACCATCACTGTGATCATGCTGTAAAAAGGCAAATAGAATTGTTGGTTGCATCCAAAGAGTTTTGAAGAAGAAAAGTAACGGTTCCACTTTATTTTGCATGACTGACACCCCAGCTTCTGCCTTCGGTTCTGGCACAAGAAGGACTCAGAGAGACAGGAATTGCTTTAAAGAAGCACAAAGGGACCTATGATTCAGTGAAGCCATGAAGAGAGAGGGAAGGATTTGGGATTTGGGTGATGAGACCAAAAATTATGATGATTGCTAACTTGCTTTTCCTGTGGGGGCTGTTGCAGTTTATGAACAGCAACTCTCTTAATTTTTTTCTCAAACTTGACTGTGTTTTTAAGGAGGAAATTTGAAAGTGTTTGTCAGGAATGCTTTTCAGGAAAGAAAAAATCCCCATTGATGGCAATGGATGCCAGTGATTCAGAAAGGGGGGGGGGCTGCAAAGCAATTTCTGTTTGCCCCTCTGACCCCTTGGCTAAAATAGAAAGTATGAAAGATTGTTGTATTTTTATAACAATTTTAGTATTGAAAATGTCTCAGTGTTTGGAGCAATGGGGTTCTGCAAATGAAACTGGAGATCTGGGTTAAGGGTGGGGGCAGGAAATAAATAACAGCATCTTCTGCTAGAAACAAAAAGGAGGAGGGGGGAGTTTGGGACTGCCAAATGCTGGAAAGAAAGCATGAGGCCAAATCTGTGAGAATTGTCCTAATAACATTAACAGGCTGCAGTGCAAAAAGCCAAATTCCTTATATCTCTGTACATTGTTGATTTAATTGAGTCCATTAATCTAAAAAAATCTGATTTTTTTGCCACACAGCTAGAACTAGACCTAACCTTTTGGAGTTACAAAAATCCAGATGACCACTAAATGGCAGCAGAGAGCAAACTCTAACTCTTTGCTGCCATCCAATGGTCATATAGATTTTGCAGTTGTGAAAGTGACCTTAGCAGAGCTTGATGGTGATTTTGTTTTGTTTTTTGGATGCCTTCAAGTTAGCATTGATTCCTGGTGACTCACTGACCAATCCCTATAGTTTTCTCTTCTCCTTTTGAAAATTGAGGCGATATTTGTTCTCCTCTAGTTTTTTGGGAACTTCCTATCCAGGGTTTGGCAAAATTGCTTAAGATAAGCAAGTGAATCTGCTGAAAACCAAGAGGCCTATCATGAATGACATGAAACCCATTTTGGCACAGTATCAAATATATAGCTCTACTTGCCAGATGATATATAGTTACAAAAAGTACAAGGAAGTTTTCTTTAAAATTTTGTCATGGTTTTGACGTATTGTTTTTAATCTGATTAATACTGTAGGGTGTGCAAAATCTCAGCAAATGTAACAGCATATAAAGTGTGCTTTTTTAAAAAAAATCCAATCATCCAGTATGATGCTATTTCAAAAATCAATTCCAATTTCTATAAACGTCAGGCACAGGAAATCTGAAACAGGAGTTTATTCAGCTACTGTAAGGACCCACCCCACTTTGCATCTTAAGAAGACAGAACTCTTGGAATAATTCTTCCAACAGGCATCCTTTATTAAGAGAAAATGGTTGCAGGCGTTCTAGACAGGACTTGGGGTCCAAGCAATCCCATTCAAGGTTTTAAGGGGTTCTCCAGTAGCCCACCCAATCACCCCTCTCTTCCAGCGACAGTCTCAGGCATTACATTCCCACCCCCTTTTTCTTACTGCCGGCTGGATGGGGACTTCAAAGAAACTACATGAAAGGTAATAGCCCCATTCATATGGTTAACTCTTTTGACAATACACACAACCAATTCCTTTGAGGTGTACTGAAGGAAGTGAGGGCCATAAAGCCCCTTTGTTCACCCCCTTCCCTTCATTGTATGGCAGAATCCATAGAAGCAGAAATGGGGTTTTTTATAATTTATAAGTCAGGTGTCTTGTAATTGTTCCATCCATTCTTTCAGTGATGGGATCGTTGGTTTGTCTGGGGTTAATTCTGGCATGGGGTTGAAACTTTGACTGTTGGCTATTTGAAAAGGAGTGTAGCCTGTGCTGGAGTGGACTGCATTATTGTAGGCAACTTCCACAAAAGGGAGTAAGTCTGTCCAATCACTTTGTTGAAAATTCAAAAAACATCTCGAATATTGCTCAAGTACTGAATGACAATGTTCTGTTTGTCCATCTGTCTGAGGGTGATGGCTAGATGTCAATCCCTGAGTGGTCCCTAAGAGGGATAAAAATTCCTTCCAAATGCAGACGTAAATTGCACTCCCCTATCAGAGATGATGCGTTGGGGTGCCCCGTGTAATCTGTAAATGTGCTGGACGAAAAGTTTTGCTAAGGCCTTTGCAGTGGGAATCTTTTGGCAAGGGATAAAGTGCACCTGTTTGGAAAACAAGTCCGTGACCGTCCAGACAACAGTATTCCCATTGTTTTCTGGCAATTCAACTATAAAATCCATGGCTATTTCCCTCCAGGGGGCTGAGGGATTTGCCACTGGTTGTAATACTCCTGGCAATTTCCCTTGCAACCTCTTTGCAGACGCACATTTTGGGCAGCTGGCCACATAACTTTCTATGTCCTTTTTTATTGATGGCCACCAAAATTGCCATTTAATTAAGTGTAAAGTTTTTACAAATCCAAAATGCCCTGCTGATTTTGTGTGATGGCAAAGCTGTATGAAAGTGACTCTTTGGGTTGTTGGTATATATAACTTTTCCCCTACCCAAGGCAACCCGTCTCTCATTGTGCACACATTTTTGTTTTTCTGGAACCATTCGTCTGTTTCCAAACTTTTTCTGAATTCAATTCCAGTTTGGCTGTCCAGTTGTGGTTTTAATTTACCTTGGGTTCTTGTGGTTACTGGTGCTGCCAGTTGTGACTCTGCCAATATTGGTTTAGAGTCTGTGGGCATGCGAGATGCATCTGCCAGGAAGTTCTTTCTCCCTGGTAAGTGTTTGAGCTTAAATTGGAACTGGTGAAAATGCTGGGACCAGCGGGCTTGTTTGGGGTTGAGTTTCCTGGGCGTTTTCAGGGCTTCCAAATTTTTGTAATCAGTCCACACCTGGAAGGGGATTTTGTTGCCTTCCAGGAGCTGTCACCACGTGAGTAATGCCCAAAGTATCCCGTATGCCTCCTTCTCCTATACGGGCCAGCGCTGTTCTGTTTCCATGAGTTTCTTGGATGTATATGCACAGGTTTGCAATACTCCATCATCGTTTTCTTGTAATAGAACAGCCCCCACTGCAACATCACTTGCATCTGCCTGTATTATGAAGGGCTTGTTCATGTCTGGGTGCCTTAGTACTGGTTCGGTAGAAAAAAGTCTCTTTAGTCTCTCAAACGCTGCTTGGCACTCCATTGTCCATGTTAGTGGCTGGCTAGGTTTTCCTGAGGATGTTCCCTTCGTTTTTAGTAAGTTAGTGAGGCTATCTGGGCAAATGAGGGGATGAATTGGCGGTAAAAGTTTGCAAAGCCCAGGAAACTTTGTAGTTGCTTTCTTGTGTGGGGTGGTGCCCAATCTAATACTGCTCTGACTTTCTCTGGGTCCATTTCAATGTCCTGGGGGGATATGCAATAACCTAGGTAGTCTATCCTTTCCTGGTGGAATTTGCATTTTGAGAGTTTGGCATATAGGTGGGCGGCTCGCAGTTTCTTTAAAACCGCTCTGACAAGGTTGACATGTTCCTCTTTTGTTTCAGTGAAGATAAGAATGTCGTCCAAGTAAACAAGGACCCCCTTAAACAGGTGCTCCCTTAGAACGTCATTGATTAATTGCATAAAGACTGCAGGGCCCCCTTGTGATCCAAATGGCAAGACTTTGAATTGGTAGCACCCCATGGGGCAGTTAAATGCAGTCTTCCATTCGTCCCCTTCCTTAATTCTCAC